GGGGTCGGTATGGCTGCCAACGCCAAGTCCTTCCTGGCCGATGCGGGCTACGGCGAGCAGGAGCTGGACGCCAACTCCGCCCTTATGGAACTGGACAAAGGTGAGGCTGGGGCTGACTGCCCGGAGGGGCTGCGGCGCCCGCCCCTGCCTGCCGCAGGGTTATGGGGGGCAGTTCCGTCCTGTCCTTCGGTCCCCAGCGGCTGGGAGCTTTGTTTTGCGCCGCTTTACCGCGTGTGGAGGGGTGGAGGAATGCCCTGGTTTAGAAGGAGCGTCGGTTTCCTCATTGATTATTCTTGTCTTGTTTAGGCCTCAGGTCCGGCAAACTCGGGGAGCAGTGCGAAGCCGTCGTTCGTTTTCCCAGGCTCTTCCAGAAATATCCTTTCCCTATTCTCATTAACTCGGCCTTCCTAAAGCTAGCTGATGTTTTTAGAGTGGGGTAAGTAGCATCAGTCGGTTTCTATCCATTCAAATCTGATCTGTAGTAATGCAGTGTACCTTGGAGTGTTGCTGCATCGGAGTCTGGGCAGTCGTGGGGTTTCTTTGCTTGCCTGGTAATTCCATCACAGTGGTACCTACTCTGCTGAGGACAAGCTATGCTTGATTGAAGCTTACTTTTACCATTTTCAGTGGGTTTAAGTGGCTGTGAGTGGTCAATAACACAGATCCTTTCCATTTGTCCGGATCTGAGGATTCACTGGCTGACAGGTGTAAGTTCACTGGTGTAAATTCTGCTCCATAGGCACATTCAAATTCATAATTAATAAAAAGATGAACGACCATATGTGCAAATTGTGGTTCTAAGTTATGTTAATACCAAAGCCCAAAGTGTAGCTTTTTCAAGTGCCTGATATCTAAATGATGTGTGTGATGGAAATGGAACTACTTTGTAGTAGCTTATGAAATTATTTGTTGCTGTTGTGGAATCTTCACTGTTGGCCCTAGGAAGGAAAAGAAATTCACTCACACCTGGCAATGGCAATTAAACTTTTCTGTCTTAGTCCTGGAAATGCTTTTCTAGGGGACTTTGATCCCTAAGCGTGCACAAAACGGGCATTTGCTTACACTCCTTCTCACTGGTGTCAACGAGTTCATTTCCCTGAATTTGACACTGCCAGAAAATAGAACACTTATGTGTTAATAGTCTCTTTTTGACTATATCGGTCTATGTAAATATAAAGTTTCTAAAGCATAGATGTTTCCTTGTTTTAATTTACTCTTGGAAGTTTTTAAAAATAATTTTGCTTTTAAAGTGGTTGAATTTTTATTATAAAACAGTGTGATAAAGAAACATGTGTGTCTTCTAATAGAAACAACTTCCTGAGGCTTTGTGTGCTGAAAGTTACTCAGCAGAGTGAGAAGCACTTGGAGAAGATCCTAAACGTGGATGAATTTGTCAAAAGAGTTTTCTCAGTAATTCACAGCAACGATCCAGTTGCCCGGGCTATTACACTTCGGTATGTATAACATAAATAAACCTAACTTACTTTGAATCTCTAGCTAATTATTGGTATCCTAGTCTGGAATAACAAAATCTACAACTATCATGTATGAAATGTAGGAGGTGTCTTAAACGTTGTTCATAGTGTTATTAAAAGCAAATATATCTGTCTTTAAGGGGGGTGTACAATCAGGAGCTGTAATAGAAGAACAAAGTTATTAACCATTTGTGATGGTGAGAATTTTGTGGGTAGCTCTAGGCAAAGCAGAATTTGCAGTGTACTCAAGAGAAGAGAAATGAACCTGTTGTGTGCATAACCCAGGCAGTAGCTATATGCTATAATCACAAGTTGCTGTGCTGGGTTCAGTCAGAAGAGTTAACTCTTTACAGTGGCTGGTATGAAGCTGTGTTCCTGGATTTACACAGAGAAGTACTGATAAGGTCATCTTAACTGTTGCTGGGGAATGCCTGTACCAAATTCAAGGTCTTTTTCTCAGCTTCTGGTACTGCAGCTGTGTTCTCTACTCTCTCTTGATTCAGGCAGTGTAGGGGACACACAGTTCAGACAGCTGACCCACACTGATCAAAGGGGTATTTCATTCCGTAGTACATCATGCTCAGCACATAGGTGGGGAGGGATTCCAGGAGCCATTACTGTGTTACTCTGATACTTGCTAACACAGCTTTGCTAACTCCTTTGGTGGCTCATTTGGGAGGTTGTTGGTGGATTTGTTAGTTTTCCTGGTCGTGCTGTCGCTGATAGGGTTTACTCAGACTCTGCTGCGATCGCTCTCAGGCTCTCTGGCTCTGACTGTCACTTCTCAGGACCTGGTTGTGCATCGGTTGGTGGGTGGTGAGAAATTGTATCATAACTGTATCGTGTTTTATTTTCTATTATTTTAATTACTTAGTAGTAATATTTGTGTATATTAATTTAGATTCAATTAGTAAATAGTTCGTATCTCCATTTTACGAGCTTCCTTGTCTTTTTCATCTGATTCTTCCCCTCAGTTGGAGGAGGGGAGGGGGGGACCTGTGAGAGTGGCTTTATGGTATTTTGCTAGCTGGAGTTAAACTGTAACAGTTGCCTATGATACATTTAGACCAGGACTAAAAGGAAAGTGCTTCCTGTTCGTGTCAAAATACTTTTTTGTTAACTTGTAACCAAAACATATTTATGTGAACCTTATTATACTTGCCCCTATTTTTCATTTATCATTGTCCCAGAAGTTTGTTGTTTGTTGATCTCTGATCAATAACTCGTCAGGAAGTTCCATTGTATTATTGATTGCTTTGGACTTGCTGGGAATCAAATGGGGGAAAAAAACCCTCCCACATCCATTAAGCTATCTCTAATGGCACTGTCCTACTGCTTTGGTGTCTGTGTCTCTAACACTATCCAAAATGATCATGTTAATTGCATCTTCCAGCTCATGTGCAAATGAATTCAAATGTGAAGAAAGTACTGTTTTTCCTTTTGTGTTCTTTTCTTCTGTCCATCTAGAACTGTTACTGGTTTCGCTATTGAAAATAGAAGCATTAGCAGGGGTTTCTTTTTGATTAGATCAAATGTGCAATTCTTTCTTCAGATATTTTATTTGAGATATGCTTTCATGCTGTGGTGTCTCAGAAATTGCTAAATGCAGTATTAGCTACATGTTTTCTTGTAGTTCCACTTCAGTATTCTAGTGTAAAATTACAGTTATTGACTGGGGTTAGGGGCTGTCTTTACAGATTGCTAGAAGTCCCAGGAATCTGCTCAGTTTGGAGGAAAAAAAAAAAAACCCAACCCAAACTTAAATTACTAATCAGTTCACAGTGAAAGGTTGAAATGGCTGTTGGT